TTAGAATCCCACTTGGTTCTCGTAGTGACTTGCAGGCGTCGACATTTTCCAACATTGCGTTCTCTTTGAATGTCGTCAACACTTCACGTACACGTGAGGATAAGAGGCTAATGGGCGCGCAATTTATTTAAATCAGTCGTGTCTCCCTTTTTTAATATATACACGTGTATATATGCGTGTACATGTTTGTGAGAGTGGTGGCGTAGCGGTTAGCCAACGCCGGTGACGATTATCTGAACTGGTTCTGGACCTCCCCTAGGTCGACTCAGCCTCAAATGAGTACCTGGTGCGGTGTGTAAACATCGCCCCCGGGGAGACAAAGGCGGTCGGGCGTGGTGCTGGCCACCCATCCCCTCGCGTCCCGTTCCGGTCTTCACAGGTGGCTCGCTAACAGCACTTGCCCCGACAATCTGTTACAGGCTCAACGGGGGAGGATCTTTGTTTTTTGTATACATGTATATATATATTTGTGCATGAGGAATTAGTCTACGATAGAGATTATCAATGTCTGCACACAACATGTCGTACATAGCTCTGCGTCGAAATGTATTTTTTTTTAATCCGACAGCTGGTCCCCGATTCTATATATGGTGAGGATGTCCACAGTTTATTTCCCTCCCCATACTGCCAAGGACAGTTGTAACAACAACAAAACAAATGACATTGTTTTATGAAGCGCCTTTCGTATCGAAGTATCTCCTTTCGTGCGACATCTGGAAACGTCCTTGCCCTTTATCTGGAACACGATGCGTCCCAGCAGCATCAGCAGCAGCAGAATCAGGATGTGTGGTCGTTTTTGTGCTGCAGAGATCTGGAGGGGACCCGTTCACTTTTTTGTTCACGATTCTGTCTGACACGTGGTTATCGGTTAATCGTGCTGTCTGAGCGCTGCCCTATCTGCTATTTACGAATCGTCGCCTTCATTTTTTGCCGTTCCCATGTCTTGCTGCGACTTTGTTAACAAATATGTAGTTTTTTTTACGTTGTGTTATCAATCTGCTTTACACGTTCTTTTTATAATGGTTTTAGACTCCTGAACCTTTTATAGTCACTTCAACACGTCCGTCAATAACACTGTGGCCTTCAAAAATATATATAATTGGCGACGTTTCAGGCAATGGCCCTTCTTCATGTAATTTTTTAAAATGTTTTCGTGCTCTGTTAAGAAGTGTCAATAAGTGCCATTTCCCGAAATCTCGCCTCTTAGTGTATATATCGACATATATGTGTGTATATATATTTATTTTTTCATTTTAAGGCCACACACTCACTGCTACTGTTGTTGACGAACGCGTTGAGCGCTGTTGTTAAACTCGCCTTGTCCACCACTGCCAACAGCAGCATCAGAAGCAGCATCGCCAAACGCATTTGTTTAAGAAGAAAAATAAAACGTGTCAACTTCATCCGTGTCACGTCTTCTTCTTCTTGCGAGTGGAGACCTTTGCACGACACTGCTGCTTATCTTCCACGTTGCCCTTCTTCCGCTGAACATCTTTCCGGTGTTGCCTGTTGCTCCTGGGAATGGTTATCATTCGCTTCGCACCCCACCCAACCCCGTTGGCTATGTTGCATCAGAATATGTATTTATACTGGAGGAATCCGATGAGCTATGAAGCTCTGTTTTTTTGTTACAGATGTCTAGCAGGGGCGGGTACAACAACAAATAATGCACAACGCGATAGGAGCGCAAAGTATAGGAAAGGTAAATAAATCATTTAAAAATAAATATACAAATGAAACGACATTATTTTGTTTGTCTCGCCAGGTGAAGGCCACTGAGCTATTAACTTGTTTTTCAGAAGCGATCTGGCCACGAACGATAGCTCAACGAAGCGGCTTATCACGTGGAAATGTACAGCAGCAAAATAATCTCAAAAATCCCAATGCATGTTTCTAAATGTGTGTGGGTGGTGGTGGATTGGAGGGGAACCCAGAGGAGCCGGAGGAAAAATAATCTACGCGATTACGGGGAGAGAGAAACACGCAAACTCCAAATATACACAAAGCAGGCGTCAGGGTCGGGGTCGAACCTCCAAACCTCCTTGCATATCAGGCGAGTAAGATAACGTCACGCCGCTTGAATACATTAATAAAGTATATCATGTCAAATTGCACCATCAATTCCCCATGTTGCAAAGCAGCGACCCTGCGATCGCCTCCCGTGTGCGCGACTGTGGCCACGGGACAAACAAACAACAACAACCAGATTCACGGACACGAATTAGGAGGATGCATCATCATCATCATCTTCATCATCACCACAGCGATGATGAGGATAATGATGATGATGATGCTGCACCGCCACTCCGCTACACTCCTGGCGCAAATCGTCTGGCCCATTCACCTCTTCGACGTAAGAGATCACGGCTGTTGCTCTGCAAAAAACGAAAGCCCCACAAAGACCTGCCCCGTGGTGAATGTTCCGCGGACAGAGAAGATGGCTCTGAGATTCCATGTTTTCACTTATTCCCTGAGAGTGAATTCAATTTCACATCTCGCCTTATCTGTTTTCGCTCCTCCGTATTCATTGTTTTTTTTTTTTTTCACAGAGGTGGTGACCTGCACAACATCTGCTGCATATAATCAAGTCTAAAATCACGTCTATAATCACCATGATGATGATAAACACGTATCTATACACACACACCGATAGTCAGACAAAGTCCCCTCGTGTAGCCTTAACAGACTGCTGGGGCAAGTGCTGTTAGCGAGCACCTATGAAGACCGGCACGGCGCACGAGGGGGTGGGTCGCCATCACCACACCCGACCGCCTTTGTCTCCCTAGTGGCGACGTTTACACACCGCACCAAGTACTCATTAGAGGCTGAGTCGACCTAGGTGAGGTCCAGGACCGGTTCAAATAATCGTCACCGGTGTTGGCCGTGAGCGGGAATCGATCTCACATCGCAAACACATACACATACACCATGGCGTGCGTGACACCAGGCTGTACTCTTATCAGTAAAGAAGACAACAACGACTTTAAATATACATTTTTAGAGAACTTGTATAAATTAGATTCGAGTGTTGTTTTTTGTTGTATTTTTAAACACAGCAAAATGCGTGAGTACCCGCTGGAGAAGGCGGCTGGCCCGAAACGTTGTGTACCACTGTCGATCCCATTGATGCAATATTAATGTACGTACAAGTTTTACATATATATAGTACACGCGTACAACACACATAAACCATACACGCGATATATGCTCACATGCACATGCGTACAAGATGAAAGATGAATGAACGAGAACACACACACATATATAGACACACATGTATATATATAGACATGTATGGATGTTGAACTTATTTAGCACCGTACGTAGCCAACCGTGCTAATACTGTAGGCTTGACACGCGACTAATATTATATTAATAATAAAGGGTTTTGGGTGAGATCGCGTAAGCGTAAATGTGTCGTTCACCCGCTGTGGATTTACTCTCCAAACACACCGGTGGCCTCAAGTAGTAACTAATTGTAGTAACTAAGTAACTAATTGTAATTGACTAGTAGTAACTAACTAATGATTACTCTCCAACACACCGGTGGCCTCAAGTAGTAACGAATTGGCACGTTTTGTGACAACGCTGTACGTGTTGGCCGTGTCGGGTTACGACACATTTATCCTTACGAGATGTAACCCAAACACCTTTATTAGGTACTTAATAGGCTTGTTAAAATACGCATTTTTGCAATACCGGTAATCGCATGAAAAAAAAAACCGAAGAATAAAATAAAACCGGTTACCGGTTTGCCGCACATCTAGAAACTCTTCACTGCCATTCACTGGCACGCGCAGAGGTCGCCGCTGCGATTCCATCTCCAGGCGCGGAAGTCGAAACGATGGAGCGATCTTGATTTGAAGCTTTCGTGACTGCAGGAACCCCGTATACTCTTGGGTTCTTTCGGTAAAGTCACGTAGGTAGACAATAACATAAATCACGACGTTTCGATCGCAACACAAGCATGATGATTGCTTGTGTTGCGATCGAAACGTCGTGATTTGTTTCATTTTATTTCTACCTATACGTGACTTTAACGGAAGAACCAAAAAGCACGATGGAGCGAGTTTCTCAAATTTCACACCACCACCAGCGCCGCCGCCGTCTGCCCACTCAGCCGCGGTTCGGGACGATGTTAAGCGCGGTGACTCAATCGGCGGCTCTCGTACGGTGGAGTAAAGAAGCGTGGCGGCTCCAGGCGACTGGAAGAGAAGGCCAAATGCCCCCCCCCTCCCCCACGCCTAGAGCGGTCCTCGAGTGGCAGTGGCGCGGGGTCGGGCGGCTGCGCCTTGAGCCGCTTCACCGAGAGCGGAGGGGCGAACCACGAACCACGCCGTGACCTCGACTTTGGGAAACGGTTTTCGGTTCGGTACAAGGGTTACCGGTTTAGCGGTCGTGTCGAGTCGCCACCGTAATACGTGCAATTACGCGCACCGTATATACACACAAATAATGCAAACACACATGGACACACATTGTACTGGATAGGGTTTATAAACGCACATGTAAAGGAAACTTACGTATATACACAATTACACGCATGCATCCATAATACACACAAAATGTATATATATATACACACATATGCGTACAATAAACACAAAACATATATGCACAATTACTATCAAACACAGATTTACGCATACACACGTTGCTGTGCTTGTAAATTAGAGAGGAACGATTGCATCAAAATAGGCGACGTTTCGAGTAATGACCCATCTCCGTAACTCTAATCTAATTATTTGTTAATGATGCTGCCAATCAACAACAACAACAACACCAACACTCACCACGTTCGTTCAACATCAACACCGCCGATTCGCGGCATGCCCCACGAAGAAGGGATCATTGTCCGAAACGTCGCCTATTATACGCACGCTTCTCATTTCAAGCCCACACAGGCGCGCCGTTATTGACGGACGCGTTGGCGGCCTCTCTGCTCTGAAGAAGGGTGCCTCGCCGCTGGCCGAAACGTCGCCACTCTCACAAGGACGCACCTGTTCTTGGCGGCGGCGGCGCGGTCCCTCTGCCGACGGTTCTTGAACCAGTTGCCGACCTGCGTCGGGGTGAGTCCCGTGGCCTGGGCCAGCTCCCGCTTCTTGGCCGGGTTCGGGTACGGGTCCTGCAGGTACCACTCCCGCAGCACTCGGCGCGTGCGCTCCTTGAAGCAGTGCGTCTTGGGCTCCCCGTCCCAGATCGTGGGCGGCAGCGGGAACTTCTTACGCACGCGGTACTTGTCTACGGGCCCCAGCGGGCGGCCCCGGAGCCTCTCGGCCTCCTGGTAACGCGCCTCGAGCCACATGGCCTGCAGCTTGGCGTGCGACGCCTTGGAGAAGCGGTGGCCCTCCAGGATGGCGTACAGGTCGCGGTAGTTGCCCGCGTGGAACGCGACGACGGCGCGGGCACGCAGCACGGCCTCGTTCTTGTTGAGCGTCTCCCAGGCGCCCGGCGCCACGGGCAACGACCAGAGGAAGCGGGCGAGGCGCTCCACGTCGCCGCTCTCCTCCAGCGTCTCGCAGACGCTCGCCACCTGCTGCGGGCTGAAGCTGAGCACGGGGAGATGGAACATTGGACACCGCCTTCGCTGGCACCGGGGCAAGGGCGGCGGCGGCGGCGGCGGCCGGCCGGCCGGCGAGCGAGCGGGTCCAGCCGAGCGGCCCCGTGGTGCTGCGCGCGGGCGCGCCGCTCGATGGTGGCTCGCCCGGGGGCTGCCGCAGCCGCCGCTGCTGCTGCCGCTGCTGCCGCTGCTGCTGCCGCCGCTGCTGCTGAGACGACGTCTTCTTCACTAAGCCTCCGTGTCTCAGTCGCCTCTGCTCGCTGTCTCCGCCGCCGCCAGCCCCCGGCCGCCTCAGCGCTGCGCTACGCCGAGGATCATCATGGACGCCGCCGCCGCCGACACCGCCGCGCGGTCCCTTTGCGCTCGGGCCACGAAACGCGCCGCGCTGATTGGCCGCGCACGGCGCCCATCGCCCCCGTGTCCATGGCAACAGCGATGAGCCCAACGTGCCGAGAGCCCCCCCCCCCCCTCTCTCTCCCAACAACCCCCCCCCCCCTCCTCCTCTTCTTCTTCAACACAGGACCCGAACTGCCGGACGCATTGTTCCAGCCGTACGGAACGAGGAGGAGTGTTCGTCTCACGCACCCGCTCCCATCATCACGCTGCGCGTACCCTCCCACAATGTTCTTTGTGGTGGCCGTGGTGGTGGGGGGTCCTCGAAGACCCCCAGCCATTTGGGGGAGGAGGAGGAGGATGTGGGGTGGGCTGGGAGGGGGCTTTTCCACGCACGAGGGAAGGGGTCGCACCTCGGTGTCGGGAGAATCCCGGGGCCCCAGATGAGAGGGGACACCAACCGACTGACCGGTGATGGCCGCCCGTCGCGCCGCCTTTACAAATGAGGACGCGGCGCAGCCACACAGATGACAGCAATTTGCGTGATGGCTCTGAGCTCAATCCCCCTTGTCGTTTCACGAGAGAATTGAAGGCGCGAATCGCTCTGCTTTGAGCCGACAAATAGTGGCGAATAAAGGAGTCATCACATCACGCTCGCCGCGAATTCATTCCGCGCAAAACACGCGCGACGCGTTTTGTTTGCGCCGTGGTGTGACACCACCGGCGATGGGGGGGGGGGGGAAGTGTGGGGGGGTTCTTGTAGACCGCCCCCCCTAAGTATTTGAGCTCCCCCAGGGCTTGCCCCCCCCCCACGGACGGTGCCTACCCAGCCCCCCCCCTGGGGTAGGAGAACTGCGTTTTGACCGTTCCCATGCCGGGAACGCAGTACACGCGCCGTGACGCCGACGCGCGGTGTTCGACATCCGCTGTACGCCGCTTGAATATTCCCGCACACTTGTTAAAACACTGCTAGGACAGGGCCATTGTTCGAAACGTCAGAGCAATGTCATCATCAGCAGCAATGATCAATCCGCTGCTGGATGGAGGCTTCCTACAAGCCGCCACCATCTTCTCACGGTCCCGCAATGCCAACAATCCACCACCCGGCTCCTGCAAGCGAGCTGGTCTCGTCGTTTCATCGTTGCTCCATCTTTGTTTGTCGCACATGTGCAGCCCTTTCTCAATCCACTGCTGGATGAAGCCCCCGGTCATGGTTGGAGGGCGAGGGGTGGGTGAGGGGGGGCGCAGAGTGAATGGAGGAGGAGGCGGTGGTGACGTTCGCTTGGGTTGATTGGATTCTCGGCGAATTTTGTCCGCCACGCTCGCGCAGGGGAGGGCATCGCTCTGGCGATTTGTGGCCCATGCCGAGCATCATTTAATCCGGATGAATTCCACAGACTCCTCTCCCTCCACACCTATCTCCACCCCCTCCCCCATTCTCGCGCTGGAATTTAAACGTGCGCCCCGTGACCTCCACGGTCTCCATCCCCGCGCCTTCCTTCGCACAGCGGATTGCAAGAGAACCCCTTTGCACATTGCTGGCCGCTTTGTTTGGGCCTACGCTCAGCAACAGTGGCCGATGCACATTGCACGGGTGTGTACATAGATGTGGATGCCGTCTCTGTGTGTGTACACGGCTAGCATAGAGGCGAAACTGGGGGAGACGCAGCGGTGTTTGTCGAGCGCGCGTTTTGGGTGAATTGTGACAGCGCAGGGCAGCGAGGGATGGCGGCGTCGCGGAGATGATTGACATTTACATTCTGAGATGTGTTTTCTCAAGCGCCGATGAAGGGTCCTTGCCTGAAACGTTGGCCGGCTGTATATTTTTTATTTGTTTGAAAATCGGTGTAAAATGGCGAACCTTGTGGGTGGTAGATGTTTGTTGTTTAGTCTGTTAATATATTTATTATATGACGCGTTGTCTGTGTTCCTGTTACATTGTGATTATTATTGCAATTAATGTGTTATTGTGATGTTGCTGTGTTATATATGTTAGAATTATGAATTCAACTGTGGCATACTATCACACGGTAACTGCTGACATAGATGAAAGTCGGGTACATAAACCTGTTGCGTTAAATCACGGATTCAGATTAGCACGGTATGGCTTACGTACGGTGCGAAAGAAGTTCAACATACGCACAACAATAAATAATCAAATAACAAATCTCCACATATTCTCCACCACGGCAGTAATGATTATTTAGTGTTGTGTATTATATAGTTCTGCGTCCAACCAATATCCAAATCTTATACTCAAATTAAACTATTTTTTTTATTTGTTATGATAAGTCCCACTAAGCTATATAGCTCTTTTTCAGAATCAACCTGATCACAAATGATAGCTCAACATCACGTGGAAAGGTATAGCAGCCAAATACTCTCTAAACGCATCTTTCTAAATGTGGAGGGAAAAACCGGAGAACCTGGAGAAAATCCACGCAACCACGGGGAGACAGGACATGCAAACTCCAAATATATCGGCGTCAAGGTCGGGATCGGGATCGAATCTACGACCTCCTGTATACCAGGCGAGGGAGTTAACATCTCGCCACCGGGCCACTATCTATAGCATCTGTCAGTTGATCAGAATTGGTTCAAGCAAGCCTGGCTCTGCCGATGAAACACACCGAAGTTTACACCATTGGAAACCTTATTTGCCAGTAACAAAATATGATAATTGTTTTTTTTACCCTTTTATCTGGCAACAAAACTGACACCTTTTTTTTACAAGGAGTCATGTTTACATTGACCACAATACCTGCGGTCGGAACGCAAACAAAAAACAACAACTCTGATAATGTATGCACTGTCCTGAGTTGTTTTTTGTTTGCGTTCCGACTGCAGGTATTGTGGTCAATGTAAACATGACTCCTTGTAAAAAAGGTGTCAGTTTTGTTGCCAGATAAAAGGGTAAAAAAACAATTATCATATTTTGTTACTGGCAAATGAGGTTTCCAATGGTGTAAATGCTTACCCCGAGCTCTCATACTCTGATGGTGTATTGTCTTTGAGTTGTGCGCCTTTTGGCGTCTTCTGGTCCAACACCATATGAGACGAGGCTCTAAAGAAAGCTGTCTCGGATGTGGACCAATCAATTTCAAGGACAGTACATACATTATCAGAGTTGTTATTTTTTGTTTACGTTCCCACCGCAGGTATTGTGGTCAATGTAAACATGACTCCTTGTAAAAAAAGGTGTCAATTTTGTTGCCAGATAAAAGGGTAAAAAAACAATTATCACACCGAAGTTTTTTTTTTAATATTTGACCGATTGGTCTAAATCAGGGGTAGGGAACCGTTTTTCTGCCAAGGGCCATTTGGATATTTATAACATCATTCGCGGGCCATACAAAATTATCAACTTAAAAATTAGCCTGTTATATTTGGTCAAACATTTAATTAACTCACCCCTAATGCGATGGCTGGAACTGCGTCTCTTTAGCGAGGCGTGTGATGTTAGCTGGTATTGATGATGTTGCTACTCGCAACTACTGTTCCAGGTTTGCTCCTAAATTTATTGAATTTCGAGTCCCGCCTGCGGTTGCCTTGGCAGGGCCAGAGACCAAATGATTTCGCGGGGCCTCATACGGCCCGCGGGCCGGACGTTCCCCACCCCCTGGTCTCTAAATGAACGTTTTGGCCACTCCACCGCCCCTCGTGTGATGGCCTCCTGGCTGCTCGTGCGAGAAGTTCGGATTGTGGTCTGGGATGTCGACTTCATGGAGTAATTTCTCTGCTCTGATAACTTGTTGTTGTTGTTGCTGCTCGGACTTTTGCTTTCATGACATTTCCTTATTTGCTTATTCACGTTTTATTTTATGAGGGCTTTCATTTGCTTGATAGTTATTATAAATAGGATTTGGCCCTAATATATATACTTGATATACAGCGTTGTGGGATGCAAAAGGCATGAATGACGCGATATAAAATGTAAGTATTATTACTCATTGGTTTTTTTCGGTTAAGTCACGTATGTAGAAATACCATAAAATTATATTAAAATAAAATAAATCAATCACGACGTTTCGACCGCAACACAAGCGATCTTCATCAGGTGTAAAAAACAAATAGCACATAGGGTGACATCATGTGCTGTTTGTTTTTTTACACCTGATGAAGATCGCTTGTGTTGCAGTCGAAACGTCGTGATTGATTTATTTTAATATAATTTTATGGTATTTCTACATACGTGACTTTACCGAAAAAAACAATGAGTAATTTATGCAGTCACCAAAGCTTTAATTCTTTAATGTAAGTATTATCGTCGAAACCGGTCCAGAGTTTGCTTGTATTGAACCAATACTGCTTACATTATGCACTCCCAGGAGACCTTGTGGAAGTGTAAAATACTTTTATTTACAAATAAAAATTGTTGGTGATGTTGAGTCCACAGTTGTCAACCTCATCAATGTTCCCTATCAGTGCACCTGTTCTGGAACTCCTGATGGTGGTGTTGTTGTTGTTTGATTTCACCTAACCAGGTGAGAACTCTTAGATACCGCAATAGAGTCTTAATTACAAAGGTGACCAGGTTCTTTGAAATTCACGATACTATCCGGCCTGCGTTGTTTCTTGCGCTTTGAATGAGGGCCACTACTTTGAGTGTAAATTAGTTTATTAGCAGTAATATATTGTGATAATTATTGAAGGGGTTGTCTATTAGCCAACAGCTACTACTCTTATTCTTGGTTATTTCGGTAAAGTCACGTAGAAGGGAAACAATAAAATAATACAAATATAAAACAATAACAACAATTATTTTATTGTTTCCCTTCTACGTGACTTTACCGAAAGAACCAAGAATATGAATCCCTGCAGTCACGAAAGCTTTAAATAAAAGAGCTACTACTCTATTTGTTTAAAAACTGGTTATCAGAATTTTTTAAAATGTAATACTTATCAGGCCCCATGGTGTAAACAAAGGCAATCTCCAACTCATTTTTTCTCTCTGGCCTCTCCTAGTATATACCATGAAGGGGCATTGCCTGAAACGTCGCCCTGCTATCATGGGAGGGAGGGTGGGGTTTGGTCACGCGACCGCCGCGGGTCACGTGGCG